AATGTAATCATTTTTATTCTTTGCTTTACGATAAAAATCTCCACGTATATTTGCTCTTTAATGTTCTTTTACTCTCTTACTTTGTCAACTCTTAACGTGAGAATTTCGAATGTTGTCCAATTAGAGAGAGAGAGATTCGGGAAATATTTTGGAGCATAAGAAAACTAAGGAAATTCTTGTTAAACCAAAAACAAAAAAAAAAGATGAGAAGCAGAAATAAAGTCGAATTATAACCGAGAAGATTTTTGCGAGTGAAATTACAAATTTAATAAATGCGGAAAGTAAATTGTAAGTTTTTTAACAAGTGAAAATTTATAAAATACGAATGAAGCAGAAAGAAAATGAAAAGCCGGGAATCTTAAAAATGAAAACATTAATAACAATGCAAACTAAAAAAAAACACCTAGCACGCTTATAGATTCAATGATTTCAATGCATTCTTCTTACTCTGTATTGTTGTTATAGTTATGACATAATCGGGCGTGTTCGTTTTCAGATAAAATAAACGAGTTAAAAAACTTTTATATGAAAGTTACCAAGGAGTCTTCAATAAATGGTAGTAAAAAAGCCTTAGAAGTGTTGTGTAGGGTTAAGGAAATTGTGGTTAAAACTTTATAGGATTATAGAGAATTATATATTCCGCTTTAAAAAAATCATGTAGCTTAATTTTAATTTTAAACGGTTAGTGATTGCTTTCAAGGGAAATAAAATGTAAAACATTTAAAAAGTTCTAAAAGGAGTAAGCATTTTGAAAGATTAAATTATATGCACTTTTTACATTCGAGAGAAATTTACGTGCATTATTAAAATGGGAATACGGTAACACTGTTTCGTTTACTTTTTATGTTTATTCCCCCTCTCTATAAGCACGCATGCTCTGTGTAAAACTTTGCCACTCGTAAAATCTCAGTTGGATTTTATATTTTCTTTTCGTCTCTTTTGGGTTTAATTGAATTTTAACTGTTGTCGACTACACTTCGTGTAGTTCGCGGCCTCTTAATTGGTGTTCGTGTGTGCTTTTCTGAGTGTGCGATTTAAAATTTGTGTATAAACGATTTTTTGGTGTGCATTGACATACGCATAGAAAAAAAGAAGAGGATTTTTAATTTGGAAAAAATCAACACAAACGTAAACATATAGAAATTGTAAAAATTATTATTTACGACATAAACGAGGAATTTTTCCAACTCTTGCTTTTTAATTTTTATCCGAAAAAAAACAAAAAAAATCCTATCGTGTATGTACATAAAATTCTTTTCCCTCTTTTTTTTTCTATTGTCGCGTTCTTGGAAGTGCGTTTCGAAATCTGCTTTAAGCAATATATGAAAACGGAAAAGAATTTAATGAGCATAAAGAAATTCGTAAATATTTTTAAAATTTAAATTTTTAACACGAACAACAAGGAAATATATGTTAAATTTAAAACTCTGCAAAAGCTAAACAAGCTGCCTGAAGCCGCCTTGCATATACATTTTCATAAAATTAAGCAAAAGCGAGACAGCTTCATCAATTCTCTATTTCGCAAACGGTAAGTATTGTACACCGTTAAACAACTATTTTATCAGCAACAACAGTTATGCTGTATATATACTTGTTTTATTCGTTGGTGCATCAAAAAAATAAAGGGAAATTTTTTTTTTTTGCTGTTTTTGGGTTGTATAGGTGTCATGGTCTTTGAGTTCTATAAATCATTCATTTTTGTTAAATTTAATTTGAACTTTATGCTTTAATTTCACCCTAATTTCCAATATGAGTTGATGCACAATTTGTGCTTGAGTGGTTGGCTCTCTCTTCTCTTTGTGCTTATATGAATGATAATATTATGTTCATATGCATTGACCGTTAATGTGTTTTATCATCAATCGCAGTACTTATGGCTGTCGTTCTCATTTTTGGTTTTGCGGACAAGAGCTAAACTTGTTCGTTTAATAAGAAGAGTTGCCAATTAACAAAACGAAACGTTTACTTACCATTTTTAAGTAGAAATCGCTTCATGTGCAAAATTGTGCAGAACTGATTCGTATATACATTTATTTGTAGATGAAAGGGTCTTCCGATCTTTATATAATGCTAACTTCATAAATATGTGATAAACATCAAAATTATTAATCAAGCAATGTAACAAGCTGACGAGAATTGCCATACTAACTAGTAAGAAAGCTTTAAAGTTATTAGATAACAAGAGTAAGAAGCAACAAGTAAAATGTTACTATATACATAGCAGGCGAAATTCGTGTAGTATTGAATTCGCTGATCAGCAAAGGGAAGGATGCTGCGTTAGGTGTATTTGGGTCACATGTGTAATATATAAAAATTGACACCGATTATAGTTTTCTGGCAAGTATCTGAGTATAAGAAAAATTCGAGCATTGAGGTTGCGGTAAATGGTTTTTTGATGTTTGAGCAGAACAAATAAAAGTGATTATTTGGCTACAATTCCAGCACGGCGTTATGTACTGAAATTTACTTTGTGAACAGTAACGAAAAAAACATCTGATAATATATATGTGTGGTGTTTGTATCTTTGGAAGCATGAATTCATGTTCTTGAAGCTATGAATTGCCTGCCATAGGATTAACAATGGATTCATTTTTCATTAGCAGATGCAAGTTTCTTTACTTATTGTGAGTGGGCATAATTCATATTCAAGAAAAAGCGCCGTATGTTCCTCATCCTTAAAATCTTACCTGCCAAAACTTAAATGCATTGAACACATTTAAAGCCTTTACGGTTTTGACATGAATCTTTGTTATTTGTATATACATATATATATATATGTATATTTATGTATAATCTAATCCTCTAAGTCCTTTTCCAGATGTTCGAATGCGATACATATATAGAAATGGTCCATACTAGCACAATTGACTTAAAGTTTATGAGTTTAAAGCAGTAAAAGAACATTTCTCCCAAACAATGTTTCCACGAAATGAGATATAAAAATTAGGGAAGGACGTAATTTAATTAAGCAATTTTTTCAGAGTTGGAAACGAAGCCTTGATAAGAAAAGGATATTTGTTTTCGCACATAAATCCAGCTTGTGTGTTTGTAATTGCATCACAACCACATTTGCGTAGTTCGTGTTATATGTATTTATTCTACTTAGTGATTTCAATAGACGAATAAACGAGAAAAAAGAAAACTATCGGCATTTAAGCTGGCTACGAATATATAAGCTTTATATGGCCTGTAGTATGTATTTTGCTTTTCTGTGACTTCTGCCAAAAAGTACATGACTCCTTCTCGCAGGTTTGGTCGCTTTAATTATTAATAAAATCACATTTGAATGTTGCGCAGATATTGAATATTTTTAATTGCACATCTTCTTTGGCTGTTGTTTTAACAAGTACACATATCGAATATTGATATTGTAAGTAGGTTCTAATGTACAGATTCCATATAAATTATTTATCTACATAAATTTTCTGCTTTCTTACATAATATGCTCTTTCTTTATTGTTATTTTATTTATTTTTTTTGTAAACGAACGATCGCAAGCACGTAAATGATGTTAATAATTATGGCACACAATTGCTATCACTGCAAAAAAATAAAAAGAAGTGAACGGAAAATATTGTAGTCATGCATATTGATTGAGACTCAATGTCAACAATGTTTTGTTATTCTCCATCCAAAAGATAAACGGTTGCCCAGGCACTTTGGCACCCATTGCAGCCCTACGAATAGTACAAAGTAGTATGTTTGTAACACATATACATACGTGCAACGTATTCTATGCATGCATGTGAATAATAATGATGGGCATTCATTCGTCCAGCATTGTGTCGTTATCCTCAATTGTTTTCTTTCTTTACTTTCGTCTCTTAATAGCTTAACTGAAATGTGTAGGTGCGATTCTATTGCGACCGCTTCTATTTATACGGTTATACGATTAATAATTGTTCCCTACTAAAAAGTAACTTTTTTCCCTTGCAAATATTTTCTTTTATTCTTCAATTTGTATTTTCAGTGGGCTTGAAAGCAAAGCTTTTTACAAAAAAAAACTGCTTTTTTTTTATTCATTTTTGCCTTTACATGTGGAATACGATGTGGTTAAAATTATTACTATTGTTGTTATTGTATTATTACTTGTATACATGTACATAATTCAAAGTATATTTCTATTCATCAAGTACTTTATGTGTAGACGTCTGACATAATTTTTCATTTCCAATATCTCAATGGTAATTTTTGAAATAGGTCGTAGAATTAACCTCTTCTCACTAATCAAGATTAAATCATAAAAGACATAAGTAGATAAGACATGAAGTAAAAAATATCTTGTATTGGGTTGATCAGCGAACAATCACTAATAAAAAAGAGTAGATGGAAAAGATTAAATATATCTTCCCCTTGTAAAATTCAGAAATAAGTTGCCAGAATATATATATTCTTGATAACAATGAAATTTTGAAACGTTTTAACCGTCACTCGGATTGTTTCTTCGTCATCTATTGACGCATTGTAGATTGGAGTAGAACAAGTGATCAAGGGTTTGTCGGAATTGTAACCGAATTGCGTAGTCTTCTAATATCAGAGATAAAGTCTACACTTGATAGACGTTAATTTTGATTGACTAACATAAACGAAGAAGAAACCTTAAGATCGAAATATCAACAAACAAAATTGCAAATCCATTTTCGACGCACCCTCTTCCTCCCTCTCTTCACTTTCACTCATTGCGGTTAGACTGCCTTGTTGGTAATAAATTGATAAAATGAATTGGAACATTGCACACTTTCATACGTTTTCTTCAAAAATTGATGTATTTTTCGCTATATGTTGTGACATATACCTTCTTTCAGTTACGAGGAGCTTTTTCCCACTGTCTTTCTTTACACGACTTTGAAATAACACGGCCCATCAATGCACTTTTTTACACCAATTTTTCGTTCCAGTAGGAACCCAAAAAAATCATTTTCTTTTCAGTTCTAATTCTGAAAGCATCTAGCGTGCAAAAGAGAGGCAGAGTTGGGTGCAGTAAAAATTTTGAAAAAAAGTGGATTAATTAAACAAAGATTAGTTTCAGCGGACTATCCTCTTTTCACTCTTCAATCAAGTCCCATAAGAGCATTGTAAGCCTAAAGAAGAGTTTCTTTGGATTTTTTTTTTTTTTTTGATTGAAAAAAATGTAGCGGAATGATAGTATTGGACCAAAAAAAATTATTTTTGGAAAAATAATTAAAAATGCCAACACTGCAATACTTATCAGCAGACGTCTTTAGTTCAAGGAACTCTGCGACAAGCTGCACAACTAGTAGAGATTTGAATTAAAAAATGTCTATACCTAGTGAAATATGTAGGAGCTTTTGAAAAGGTTGATTTTTGTGTAATTGTCGAAAAAAAGACACTCCTTTTATTAATAAAAAATGTTTACATTAACTTAATGGAAAAATCGTACGTATTTTACTAAAGAAGGTCATAAAACATTCGACTGAAGGAAAAGAAAATTATTTGACTTACGCAGCTTGCCAACACCTTTAGCCCGTTTGCGGATAGTAAAAATTTCAGTTATGTGCAAATTGACTCAAAATGCCATTTTTAGACCAATTTTTGGGAGACTTGTCCAGCTCGAATGGGAAGTTCTTTCACACTCAGAGCGTGTTCGCTTGATATAGCTAATCCAGATTAACACTTCTTCAGATTGCTGCAGCATGAATCGCTGCCAAACCAATAAAAGTTCTTTCGACATGATATCATGCTGCCAAAAATATTGTAAAATGTAGAAAATAATGAAAAATAAATAAATGATTTTAAAACTTGAATCTTATAGGATTAATTCCATTTCGGATCCTAATGAAACTGAACACTACTGCATTCACGTTCGCGAACCTATTAAAGTTTTCACATCTGTTATGCACATATTTTTTGCATTAGTCTGCGACTCTTGAACTATAAACTTGCCTTCCAAGTCGAAATATTTCTTTCTCTCTTCCTGAGGATTTTATTCTTCAAACTGCCTGCTTTGCACCTCAACGTTCTTGATCGCGTTAGCGTCTGTTTCAGAGCAAAAAATTTTGTGTTTGGATACCAATATCTACCTGCAAAACTTTAATGATTTTTAGAATGATTAGTCATCCCAATGCCAGTCCTTCTGTCGAAAACGTTTTGTTTACAGAAATTTCAAAGAAAAAATTTTTGGAAGAAATAAATTTTTTTCCAAGCATTCTAGACGGTTCAAAGAAAGCATCTTTTAGGTAAAAAAAAAAAAAAAAAAATCGATTTTCTGAAAAATCTACATCAAGTCTACCGTCTTAAATTAATTGGTTCTGGCTGATAATGCCAAAGTTGTTGCTGAATATTGAAAATAATGAGATTTGTCATGCAACCGGTTTTAATACGTTTTAAAACATCTTCCAAATTAGTATACAGTAATAGTTATTTTTCAAACGTAAAAAGAATTCAAAGTTTAATGTGGACGGTGCTGAGGCATATATTGGTATCGTTGTACTTGTTATTATTATTTTTTTTTACTATTTTATTGTCACTTGTAAATTAATTGTTACAATCAGGGTAACAAGCAGCAGA